GTATACATATACACACATATATATTATATATGGAAAGGTCCCTGAGGGTTACGTACAGTTTGCACTCAACTACTAACTGAAAAGTTGATAGTTCAAACCCACCCAGCGGCTCTGCGGAAAAAAGGCCTAACAATCTGCTCCCATAAAGATTAAAGCCAAGAAAATCTATGAGGCAGTTCTGCTCTATAACATGCAGGGTTGCCATGAATCAGAATCAACTTGACAGCAATAGATTTGATTTGGGGTGTGTGTGTGTGTGTGTGTGTATGTGTGTGTGTAGAGGAGGATGTACTGAAAAACCCAACCAAACAAACTCACTGCCATGGGGTCAATTCTGACTTACAGAAACCCAATAGGACAGAGTTGAACTGCCCCACAGGGTTTCAGAGGCCGTAAATCTTCACAGAAGCAGCTGCCTCATCTTTCTCCTGTGGAGCAGCTAGCCGGTGGATTCGAATCGCCAACCTTTTGGTTAGCAGACCAATGCTTTAACTACTACACCACCAGAGCTCCTTCAGTAAAAAACCTAATGTGGCAAAAGTGCTGATTCTGGGGAGAGATGTACGTCAGGGGTTCTCAGCCAAGGGCAATTCTGCCCCCGGGTGCATTGGTGATGTCTGGAGATGTTCGTGATTGTCACAACAGGGAAGGGGGTTGCTACTTGCATTGAGTGGCAGAGACCAGGATGCTGCTCAACACCATACAGTGCACGGTGTAGCCCAGAGCATGATCTGGCCCTAGATGTCGGCAGTGCCAGAGCTGAGAAACCCTGGGATATGGAAGCTCTTTGCACTATTCTTGCAATTTGGTATAACATTTATATAAAAATTAAAGTAAAAAAAAAAAATCCCCTTCGTTCCTAGGTTTCAGCACACACAAAAAAAATCCCCTTTGCTTTTGCTGCTTACTTTTCTCTATGACAAAATTTAAAACTAAACAAATACTACAGGCAAATCCATAGAGACAGAAAGCAGATTAGTGGTTGCCAGGGGCTGAGGGAGGGGGAAATGGGGAACGACCGTTAATAGATACAGGGTTTCTACTTGGGGTGATAAGAATTGTTTTGTTTCACTAGTGCCCTCTAACAGAAAATACCACAAGTGGGTGGTTTTAATAAACAGGAATTTATTCTCTTACAGTTTAGGAAGCTAGAAGTCTGAGTTCAAAGTGCCAGCCCTAGGGTGAAGGCCCCTCGGGAGCTTCTTGTTCCCAGCCCAGTAGGGCTGGAGGCGTCGCTTACCTCAGGCAGCTGCTGGCTGCTGAGGCTGACAAACCCAGGGTTGACAAATAAAATGGTACAGTCCCAAGATTATCGAGCAACATAGCAGGCCACTCGTTCAAGTCCAGAAACAGTCCCAAGATGGGCAGACAACATGGCAGGCCTGATGACTTGGCCAAATGCAGGATCCAGATGTGCCAAGAAGCTCAGAGACCTTTCTCAAGGCTTCTGCTTATATACAGGAAGCAGGCCACATCCCTAAGGCAGCTACTCAGCTGCTCACAGTAGCTTTCACCGTGGAGCCATTACCAGTCTCATCATGAGGAATACTACTACATCCAGCTGCCCGAGCCACTCAAAACCAGGCCCAGCCAAGTTGACACAAAACCTTAACTATCACAAGAATGTTCTGGAGTTAGATAGTTGTGAGGTTTGGACAGTTTTGTGAATATACTAGAAACCACTGACTTGTACGCTTTAAAAGAATGAAAATACCTCATGCTATCTGAATTGTATTGGGTTGAACAGTGTACCCCCAAAATTTATGTCCACCTAGAACCTGTAAATGTGACTTTATTGGAAATGAGGTATTTATAGATATAATTAAGTTAAGATGAGGTCATACTGGATTGTTGTTTTGTTGTAAGGTGCTATCGAATCGGTTCTGAATCCTAGTGACACCACATGCAACAGAATGAAACACTCCCCAATTGGGCACCATCTGCACAATTGTTACTATGCTTGAGCCCATTGTTGCAGCCTCTGTGTCAACCCATCACATTGAGGGTCTTCCCCTTTTTCGCTGACCCTCTACTTTACCAAGCATGATGTCCTTCGCCAAGGATTGGTCCTTCCTGACAACATGACCAAATTACACGAGAGGAAGTCTCACTATCCTTGCTTCTAAGGAGTCCATGGCATGTTCAATATTCTTCATCAACGCCATCATTCAAAGACATCAATATTGGATTGGGTAGGCCCTAAATCCCATGTCTTGTGTCCTTATCAGGAGAAGGAGACCCAGAGACCCAGAGGGAAGACGGCCACGTGAAGATGAAGACAGAGATTGGAATAAACCATCTATAACCCCAAAATGCCAAGGATTGTGGTGAATTGTAGTCAACGTCATGAGACAAAGTGTATGTGAACTGCTGTATGGAAAGTGAATTTGCTCTGTAAATTGTCACCCAGATCACAATTAAAAAAAAAAAAAAGAAAGAAAAAAAAAAAAGAAATGCCAAGGTCTATCAGCAACCACCAGAGGCTGGAAGAAGGAACATTTCTCTCCTAGAACCTTAGAGGGAACATGGTACTGCCTTAATTGTGAACTTCTAGCCTGAGGAATTTCAAGAGAATAAACTTATGTTATTTTAAGCAACTCAAAACCATTTGAGTTGACCCTGACTCACAGTGACGCCCTGTGTGTCAGAGTAGAACTGTGCTCCACAGGATTTCAATGGCTGGTTTATAAGAAGTGGCTCACCAGGCCTTTCTTCCAAGGTGCCTCTGGGTGGCCTCGAACCTCCAACCATTTGGTCAGCAGCTGAGTGCTTAATTGCTTACACTACCCAGGGACTCCACTTAAGCCTCTCAGATCCCAGAGCTTTGTTTTGGCAGCCACAGGAAACTCATACATGAATTACATCTCAATTTTTTAAAAAATAAACAAAAACAACAGAGACTCACCGAGAAGCCACGATATAGCCCAGAACGTGGGCTACCAGGAGCTGGCCATGCGTCTGCTCCAGGCGGGCACATAGCTGGTGCGTGGCTTCCTGGGCAGTGGAGGCCAGAGGAGCGGGCACGGAGAAGGAGGCCCACTTCCGGGCCTCCTCGAAGGCTAGCCTCAGGAGGCCCGGGTGCCCGCACTCGGGGAGGCTGGCCCACAACAGGTCCTTCTGGGCCTGGCTCAGCGTTCTCCTCGCGGCCACCAGCAGGAGCTGAATCATCTCCTGCCCCTGGTTCGCAGAGAGGGGCTTCACCTCCCAGTAGGCCCCGGAGTCTGGGAGTGTCTGCCGCACTGTGTCCAGCATCCCCTGCTGCTGCCCTGAGCACACCGAGAGGATGAGATGGACCCTCGGGGGGCACTGAGGCGGCAGCCAAGAGACCCTGCGGGTGTGGCGGACAGTGTCGAGGTCGTCCAGGCCATCCAGAAGGATGACCAGGGCCTCGAAGTTTCTGTGGGACACGGTGTGGAGGAGGCTGTGGAAGAACTGGACCACTCTGGTGTGGGCCTCCAGGACCTGGGCAGGTGGTAGGGGCAGCCCGAAGGCCAGGCACACCTGGAAGCAGATGCTTTGGAGCAGGCCACGGGAGTCGGCACTCATCTGTGAGGTCCCCAGAAGACGCAGGACCGTTACCGTCTTGTGACCTAGAAGTCCTGGCACTTGCTCGGCCAGTTTGCACATCAGTGCTGTCTTTCCGATGCCTGGGGGTCCATAGAGCACCAAGGGGCTGTGGGGGGCACTGTGGCTCTGCCGTAGCCGCTGCCCGAACTGGGCCAGGAGCTCCCGGCGGCCACAGAAGGTGCGTGAAGCCTCGGCACTCTGGCCCAGGTGGTGGCGGATGTCCTGGTACAGCCAGGCCAGGTCCTGCGTGGCCGCCTCCAGCTCACGGATATGCTGCAGGACCTGGTAGTTGGCCCTGGTCACAAACTGCTCCCCCAGCTCCTTCAGGTACCGGGCGTGGGCCTTGTTCTTTGGGTTCACCAGGTCACGGCTCCACGGCAGGTGGTGGGTCTTGAGGGCATCGGGGTGCTCTTCAGCAATGCGCCCTTTGAGGCTGCTGAGAAGGTTCTGGGCGTCTGTGTCCAGGCAGCCATCTGGAAGCCGGTCCACCAGCCGCAGGGCACAGTCATCCAGGATATGTCTGTTGAGGTCCTGGATCTCACGCAGGAAGATGGTGGCACCCTGGTCCCCGTCTTCTGAGCTCAGCAGGCCACGCTCGATCTCCCACTCAATGACTGCAAAAGGGAAAGGTTAAAATGCGACAAGTTGCTCAACACTGTTAGTCATTAAAAAGAAAAAGTTGCTTCTAAGTCAACTCTGAACCACAACATCCCTGGGGTGTCGGAGTAGAACTGAGGAGTTTTCAATGGGTGATTTTTAAAAAGTAAATCACCAGGCCTTTCCTCCAAGGCACTTCTGTGTAGACTTGAACCACCAAAACTTTTGGTGAGCAGCCAAGCAAATTTCCCATTTGCACCACGAGGAACTCTCCTTTAGTAATTCAAAAAACCAAACTCACTACCATTGAGTCAGACCCGACTCATGGCGACCACTTCATGGGTTTCCGAGGCAGTATCACTATGGAAGTAGATTGCCCAACCTTCCTTCCGAGGAGCAGCTGGGGGGTTTGAACAGCCAGCCCTCTGGTTAGCAGTCAAATCAAAACCACACTGAGATACCACCTCACTCTCTCTAGGATAGCTATCATCAGAAAAACAGAAAATAACAGGTGTTGGTGAGGATGTGGGGAAATTGGACCCCTCATGCATTGCTAATGGGAATGTCAAATGGTGCAGCTACTGTGGAAAAATTTGGCGGTTCCTCAAAAAGTTAAACATAGAACCACCATATGACCCAGTATTTCTGCTCCTAGGATCTACCCAAGAACCTAGAAAGAAAGAACTCAAGCAGATACATGTACACCAATGTTCACTATGGCACTATTTATAACACCCAAACGTTGGAAATTACCAAGCGGTCATCAACAAGTGAACTGATCAACAAAATGTGGTCTACCCAGATAGTGGAATATTATTCAGCCATGAAAAGGAATGAAGTTCTGATACATGCTACAAAATGAATGAACTTCGAAAATCTTATACTGAGTTAAAGAAGTCAGTCACAAAAGGACAGACATTATATGAAACCCATTTACATGAAAAGTCTACAATAGGCAAATCCATGGAGGCCAAAGAAGTTTGGAGTCCTGGGATGGTGTGAATGGTTAACAGGCTCAGCTGTGAACTGAAAGTCTGCAGGTGTGAGTCCACCCTGAGGCACCTCAGAAGAAAGGCCTGGTGATCTGTTTCTGAAAAATCACTGTTGAAAAGTCCATGGAGCACAGCTGTACCCTGAGACACAAAGAATCACCGTGAGTCAGAACCAACTCAGCAGCAATTTTTTTTTTTTCCAAGGAAGTTTGATGGTTACTTGGGGAAGGGCGGAGTGGCAAGTGACTGCTTAATGGGTATGGAACTTCTTTTGGGGTGATGAGAATGTTCTGGAAGTAGATAGAGGGGACAGTGGCACAACATTGTGAATGGACTAAAAGTCAGGGAATTTGCAGTTTTCAATGGCTAATTTCATGCTATGTGAATGCTACCTCAATTTTTAAAAAGTCAGTGCCATCAATTAGGGTCCCTCCCTCCCTCATATTCAATACATATTTCTTGAGCTCCTCTGGCTCCAACCTCTGTTCTTGACACTGAGATGTCAGCAGGGACTGAAACACACAAGCCCCTGCCTCATGGACAGTCCAGTCTAAACCAGTATGCACACACAAAGGGACGGACAGCTGATGGATGATGAAGCATCGGGGACAGGCAGGGAAGTACAGGCCCGGGGGCTGCAGAAAAACTTCTGCAGAGGCACAGAAGCCAAGGAGGCATGGAGGCTAGAGAGAGTTTTTAATGAGACTGGAGGCTGGGTTCCTGGAGGCATGGAGACCAGTTCAGTTTTTTCCTAGAGCAGAGGAGAGCAAACTTTTTATTTAAGGGGCTGACAGTCAATAGTTTTCATTTTGCAGACCACAGAGTCTCCGTCACAGCTACTGAACTTTGCCCTTATAATGTGAAAGCAACTAGAAACAGTAGTAAACAAATGGGTGTAGCTGTGTGCTGATAAATCTTTATTTACACAAACAAATGGAGGGCCAGATGTTTGTGAAGCTCTGCCTTGGAACATGCCCCAGCTGCCCTGTTACTGTAGGTGCCTTTGACTTGGCTCTAATTCACGGCAACCTACGTGTAACTGAGTGGAATGTTGCCTGGTCCCTCTCCATACTCATCATGGTCGCTACATTTGAGCCCATTGTTACCTCCACCGTGTCAGCCCATCTCCTGGGGCGTTTCCTTACTTTTCGCTGATTCTCTACTTTATCAACCATGATGCCCTTCCCCAAGGATTGGTCTCTCCTGGTAACACATCCGGAGTAAGCAAGACGTCTCTCCATCCTCATTTCTAAGGAACATTCTGGCTGTGCTTCTTCCAAGACAGATTTGTTTCTTCTTCTGGCAGTCTACACCGTCTATATTCAGTATTCTTTGCCAACACCGTAATTCAAATGCATCACTCCTCTTCCTTCCGTCTTCCTTATTCATTGTCCAGCTTCCACATGCATATGAAGCGATTAAGACCCTGGCTTGGGTCAGGCTCACCTTAGTCCTTAAAGTGACATCTGTTCTTTTCAACACTTGAAAGAGGCTTTTACAACAACTCTGAGGACTCATATTTTCTGGAGCCTCCGGTCACACCAACCTCTCCTTGCAGGCTCTTATTTTGAAATAGCAGTCAGACCTAAGAAGTTATTTTTGAAGCTGCTCTGGGCTCAGGGGCAGCTCCCATATCTCTGCCATGGAGCAAGCCAGGCCCTTGGGGACCAGCTAAGCCTCAAAGCCAAAGACTAGAGTCACTCAGCTGTCCTCCTTGCAAGGGAGGGCCGCACACTCTCTCAGTACTGTGAATACTGCCCCATGAGGGCGGTTAACAATCCCAAGACTGGATCCTTCTCAGACACGTTTGAAACTGATTCAGTGCAAGCCCATGGGCTCTGCCACCTACAGGCTGTGAGACCTTGGGTAAGTCACTTCACCTCTCTGAGCCTCCAATTGCTCACCTATAAACATACCAGAGATCATGGCAATGGCAGCACTGGGCAATGTTTCCTTCTGTTATAAACCAGGTCACTGTGAGTCTGAGCCAACCCGACAGCAGCAAACAACAACATGGGTTCCAGGTCCAGCTGACGAGCACTTGTGAGGATGTTCTGGTAGCATAGTGCCTAAGGCACTTGACTGCTAACCAGAAGGCTGGTGGTTCAAATCCACCAGCCACTCCTCAGAAGGAAGGTTGGGCAATCTACTTCCACAGAGATACTGCCTCGGCAACCCAAGGAGGGGTCGCCATGAGTCAGGTCCGACTCAACGGCACATAATAACAACAACAGCACTTGTGAAAAGTTGAATAAATAAAGCCAATCTTGAAAGGTTATAGTCTGTGTGATTCCACCTTATATAACATTATTTTTTTTTAATTGTGATAAAAATAGATACAGTAAAACCTATGATAGCTGGAGTCTGTGTAAGCTCGAAAGTTATCAGAGAAGGAAAAACTCAAATATTTTCCACCATAGAGAAAAAAACAAACCCACTGCCATCAAGTTGATTCCACTCATAGCAACTCCTCTTTGGGTTACCGAGGCAGTATCTCTACAGAAGCAGATTACCCAATGTTCCTTCTGAGGAGTGGCTGGTGGGTTTGAACCACCAGCCTTCTGGTTAGCAGTTAAGTGCCTTAGGGGCTATGCCACCAGAGAAGTGATAGAGAAAGGAATGGCTGGACCCTGTCAAAGGCAGAAAACTTGCAAGACCTGGAAAAACAATCCCATCGGGTTCCATCTCTCACAGTTTTCATGTTTTAACCATTTTTATGTGTGCAGTTCAGTAAAATTGATTGTATTCATCATATGGTACAACCATCACCACTATCTGTGTCCAAATTTTCCATAACCCTAAATGAATCTCAGTGTCCCTTCACCAATGCCTCCCCTTTCTCCCATCCCCAGTAACCACTTTGGTCTCTGTTCATTTGCCTGTTTTAGGTATTTCATTTAACCAGGGTCATGCAATGTTTGTCCTTTTGTGTGTGACTTCTTTCATTAAGCATTGATGCTTTCAAGGTTCATACACACTGTGGATCAGGACTTTATTTCTCTTTATGGCTAAGTAATAGTCCATGGTATCAGATAGCGTTTCACTTCTATTCATAATATTTTCAGTGACCAGTTTTTCCCAAATTGGATGGCCCCATCCTTCATCCAGGAGCTTTGGTGGCATAGTGGCTAAGACACTTGCCTGCTAACCAGACGGCTGGCGGTCCAAACCCACCAGCCACTCCTCGGAAGGAAGGTTGGGCAATCCTACTTCCGTAGTGATACTGCCTCGGAAACCCAAGGAGGGGTCGCTATGAGTCGGGGCT